GTTAACACACGTGTCTCCCGAAACCGCCACTGTGCTTAGTTTCATGAACGGAGTAATCATGCGATATTATTCGAATGCATGGTTGCTGCCAAACGGGACATCAACTTGTTTGTCTGGAAAAATCCTGTTTGGCTTCGGTAGCTCTCAACTCTACAAAAGTGCGCTCGTCCAGTTTTACTTGGGCTACTAAGCATGTCACATACAAATCTTTGTTGAAATTATTTGAGGAAATAAACGTGATAATAAAATAATAAAACGTGGTTATGAATAATAATTACTATCAATAAATAAATAACTATTAATAAAAAATAATTAATAATAACTATGAGCTAGAAACTAATAATAAAAATAACCATTAACTTATATATATATGTATAGATCTATGATGTATATTAATATTTAATAGCACGCTAATTCTTCCAAGTGATGACTGTCAGACTGTCACTTTGATGAAGTAAGCAGTCTGTAATGTCTATGCTTCTGATATGGGATTGATATTTTAGAAATGGAGGCTCTAAAGTTAATATGATTCTTTTGTCGAGAGACGGGTAGTAACAGAGCAGATGCGTAATACTTTCTTCTTCCTCATCTGACTTCATCTGACCCGAACGTGATCGATTGGCTTGCTTAACAATAAGATAGTGGAATGTTAGTACGATGATTGTATTGAACGATGAAGGGCAAACACCTCCTAACAGTTGTTGTTATTTTTCTTTGGGTTATATGCTGATCATGTCATATGTGTAGTAAGATAAGTGGATTATATGTACCATCTTCATCTTTTAAAATATTCTGTAATTAAAGTCACTTAACTTTACAGAAGCCAGGAATGTGCATATAACCAGATATCTATATCAGCTTAACCATTAAATGCATCGGGATTATATGTTGTAGGCACTATATCAATAATTTAAAAACTTTCCCTTTGCTTGGTCCTGGGATAGTAAAAAATGTCATATACGGACAAAACTTATTATTCAAATAGGAGCAGTGTCAATTAATAACTAATTAAACTAATGTGCTGTTGTGCTTTTATTTCTTTACTTACTTTTTTTTTACTAGTATTTTAATAAAATTTATCTCTGTATTTTTATTTGTTGTCGACTGTATGTACGGGATATCTCAATTGATTTGTAGTCAAATTCAAATTGGTCAAACTTTCCTTAAAAGTTTTTAAGGACGTTCTTAAGCCGTGAATAAGCACACATTTTGGTGACATAGAGTGTACATTTCAGCAAAACTCTTATGAATAGGTGAGATACCACGTTCTATATTGTAAGTGGACCATAGCGGACTAGTCTACTAGTTTCCCGGTATTTGCGCAATTTGCAAGTCAAAGTCATCACTAAAGACTGACATCAACTTATCTTTATGAATGGATGAAGATTTCAGAGATCAATATTTTAGTAGGTGTGACTTGTTTGTCGAGAACAATAGTACCTTTTAAAATCGGTCATATCAAAAACTCGAAACGAATATTGAGAAACGTAATTGTTTGGTAACATTTTTCCAAAAATTAAAATTCAATCGAACTATTCTAACTATATTCCAATTTAGTTGGAATAATTAGCCAACTGACTTGGATATTACTTTTATAAAATATTTCTTTAAGTTTAAAGACAAGTAAAAGTTAAATATCTCTCGAATTCTAATTATGCGTTGAAGCAAGAATTTTGACATAAAACTTCACATAAATCCATTTTTCTGTCTTGATTTTCGTAAAACTTATCAACTTTTTTTAAACAGAATTAGAGAAACATAAGTACATTTTTAGATAAATCCATCCGACTGGAAATTCGGTCAATCTCAATGGAAAAGAATTTTTTTTCTTTATCTTGCCTGCATACAAGCAAACTGTACTTGAATTTTCGAAGGAGAAAGTAAAGTAACTTTAATCTGAAATTTACCTCAAAGATGCTGTCGATTATGGGGCGGAAATTGAAGAATGACATGCCTTGTTGTGCATTGCTATCAGCTCCAGTAGTTATTATTGCTGCATTTTGTTGTGCATTATTGTTGTTGTTGTTGTTGTTGTTGCTGTTGTGACTGTTGCTGACATGCTGATTTGGGCGTTCATAGATGCCATACTCTTGTCCAGGATAAAATACTAAGTTTTGTACTTGCACAGGTTGAAGGAGTGACTGAAAAATAGAAACCAAAAATTCTTTTATTAGTTCTTCTGCTGCAATGGAATAAAATTTTATTCAATTTTCTTTGAGATAAAGTTAAAATTCTTTTCGTTTCAATGTGGAAATTTTCTGTTTTCATGTGAAAATAAATTTCAAAATGATAAAATTTGTTTTTTTACTTATTAAAAAAAAAATGAGAAGGATATTTCGAATAAAATAAAATATTTTTTAAAATTATGGAACTCTTTTGTAATTAAAAGTTCAAATAATCAAGACGAATTACAAACAATTAGTTTATAAAAGTTAGTGTTGTTAGAAAGTTTTTATTAAAACCACACTGAACTTTTTGACATCTAATCTGAAACTTTTTCTACAGCCCCTAGTGCAGAAGAAGACGTAAGCGTCCATGTAACACACGTATAAGTAACATTAAGGAATGAACTGAGCTAAAGTTAATTATGTGGTTTTTGGACATTTTTAAGTAATTTTTGGACAGTGTCCAAAAAATATGTATGTTACGATCCTTATGTCCCTTAAAGGTGTTAAAAAGCTTATATATATACAAAGTTATTATTATATAATAATGAATGATTAAACATTGTCCTCCTTAGATATTATGAAATCATTAATGTAATTAAATAAATTTTTAATCTACTTTCTCTAACTGACTTTCCCTTTTGGAAACTTGGATAACCTTATTATTAAATTTTATTTGTATCGAAAACGAATATGTATATATATTTATATATATAT